GGAGCATGTTTATGGGACATGTTTAGTTCACTTCTGGATAATTTCACTGAACATGAATGGGCAATCGGACAGGAAAGTCTATAGTTCAGGGAACAGGTCCAAGGTGAGTATGTATATTTTGGTGGTGTTTGCATAAATTTTTAAAATAATGAATTGAATATCATTGAAGAAAAGAATATAGTCAAAAGAGGAAGAGGCACAGGACTGAGCTCTAGAATGTCCCAAATTTAGGGTATTATCTTGGTCAAACTTCTTTCAAGCAATGCCATACCAAATCATACACAGACCAAAACTATATGACAGTGTCAGGCACTACAGCCTTTGCTAAGATTGGGCATTAACTTTGTCACTTTGACATATTAAAATTGGTCTCTTGCTGTTTCAATATTAATTCATTACAAGTGAAAATAAGATGTTCCTATATGCTTACTAGAGGCCTGGTGCACAGATTTGTGCAACAGTAGGGTCCCTTGGCCTGAGCTTTGGGAATCGGGCCGATATTGCCTCTCTGACATCCCCCGAGGGGTCCCGGATTGTGAGAGGGCAGTTCTCAGGTGATGCACCCTGGAATCGGGCTCCCTCCTGTCTGGATTGGGCCTGTAGGGATCAGGGCCCCTCCTGTCTGGATCAGGTCTGTAGGGATCGGGCTGAAACTGGCTCTCCAATATCCCCTGAGGGGTCCCAGATTGCAAAAGGGTGCAGGGCATCATAGTTACCAGTTGAACAGTCGAACGGACAAACAGTTGCTTAGGCTTTTATATATATAGATTAGTAATTTGTGTTTTTATCTTCTATGTGTTCAGCTCATTTTTGTTCTTGATTATTATTGATTTATAAAATCACCCTTACATATTAAGTAACCTTTCATTTATGGTATTTATTGCAAATACTCTCATTTTCATCTTCATAGTTTTTGGTATGAGAAGTTTTACATTTTCTAGCCAAATCTATTTATTAATTACTTTCTTATGTATTACATCACTTTAATACATACAAAAATAAGTTATTTACATATTTTCTTCTAATTATTTATGGTTTCTTATTTTTTACATTTAACTCTCAGTCTTTCTGATATTTATGTTAGGTCATGTGGAAAGGCTCTCATTAAATATTTTATTAGATTTTTAGTTCATCTTATAATTATCCTATCTAATAAAAGAGAAACATGGTAATTGGCGAATGACCACTACCCTTCCCATTGGCTAATCAGGGTGATATGCAAATTAACTGACAGCCAAGATGGCGGCCGGCAGCCAGGCAGCTTGAAACTAACATGAGGCTTGCTTGCTTCAGTGACAGAGGACTGCAACATTCCCCGCCTGCCTTGCAGCCATGATCCCCTCACCCAGGCTGGCCAGGCACCCAAGCGGGACCCCCACCCTGATCCAGGACACCCTTCAGGGCAAACCAGGCAGCCCCACCCATGCACCAGGCCTCTATCCTATATAGTAAAAGGGTAATATGCCTCCTAGCACTGGGATCAGTGGCGCTGAGAGGCCTCCTAGCACCAGGATCAGCATGACAGGGGGCAGCACCCAAACCCCCTGATAGCCCTATGGCTCTGTGTGTGCCAGGAGGCGGGGTCACAACCTCCCTATCTGCCCTGCTCTGTTCGTGACAGGGGAAGGCGCCCCAACCTCCTGATCAGCCATGCTCTGTGCCTGATATGGGGGAGCTCCCCAACCTCTGATCACCCTGCGGCTCTGTGTGTGACAGGGTGCGGTGCCCTGACCCCCCTGCCCCCTTTGCTCTGTGTGTGATGGGGTAGAGCGATAACCTCCCCATCAGCCCTGCCCTGAGTGTGAGAGGGGAGGCTCCCCAACCCCCTGATTGGCCCTGCTCTGTGGGTGATAGAGGGTGGCGTCCCAACCCCCGCTCCACTGGCCCTGCTCTGTGTGTGATGGGGTAGAGCCATAGCCTCCCCATTGGCCCTGCACTGAGTGTGACAGTGGCGGTGGGCCCGCCCCCTCTACCAC